GCTCACTCCACTTCAACCGTATCTTGCCCTCTGCTCTCCTATGCAGTGTCATGGAGCCTCCGTTGTCATGGAAACTTTTCAGGTGGAGCTTGAGGATTCTTCTCCTATCTACCGTTTTGGGAATCGGGTATGGAGCTCTTCGTGGCTCGTACAAACTAGGTTCTGCAGTATGGCAGCTTTTTCGCTGAATTGTAAAACCATGTTCGTCGTGTCTTTTTCCTAGAGGTTGTCTTATTCAGACCTATTTGATCACTATCATCCAACCTCCGTGAGTGCGTTTCAAGCGGTCTCGTGATATCAAACATTTGCTGTTCTTCAGTCTGTCTCAATTTGTACTTTCTGCCTTCATGTACATTCAGTTGCCAGGATGGGAATGTATTTAGGTTTGTCCACTTATTTTCCCACTCAATATTTGAATAAATCGGAAATCAGTTCAATCTTGAAGCTTCCTCACATTCTATTCTTCCCGTTTTCGGACATCACGCGGCTCCGTTCCTATAAAGTACCCACTTGTGGCGACTGACTTGGTAATCCTCAGGCAGTATATATATATATATATATACATATATATCTGTGTTGGTTCGAACCGGCAGGGAGGCTAGTTTCTGACCGATATTCTTCGCTGTTAGTTCCCACTTTTGTGTCTTCTGTCTATGGTTTTTGCTAATAGGTTACTTTTCCAACTCGTAACCGTTCAAACTTGTGGAAGTGGTTTGTTCGGGGATGTACCAGTGCTGCTTTGGAATTGGCTGCTAATACTCGCAAGCTGATTATTTTAACGCACTACGGAAGAAAATGTTTTTTTTACCACTGAACATCACTTTCGAGTCATTTGTTGATTAATCTCTTGCTCAACGGAGCAACTAATGGATTTTATAGACAGTTTTGCGAAACCGAGGAGTAATTTGTTGCGTAAATATGAATAACGGGTTGTTATCTTGGGCTGCAATATAGGCAATTGTTTCAGGACATGCCAGACGCACCCCTGAATCAGTGACGTAGACTTTTTTGTCACAGAAATAAATTCCAACGGAAATCTATTCCATAAACAACGAAGTGAAACACACCCATTTTTTATGGACTGACAGTAGACGAAAGATAAATTTTGATCTGAGTGGCTGCTGATGAATTCAGCAGATAGCTCGTCTGTCAAGTAATCGATCTGATAAGCGGGAAAATGGCTTGAAATTTGCTGGGTTGTTGGAGAGCGCAGCCTCTAGAAGGCTCCCAACGATTACTACTTACCTTGAGAGTTCGGATTTGGAAGAAAGCCTACTTGCGACTGATTCGATCGCTTATCCGCTGCATATTCGACTTATCATTTAGTTACGACATTGTTAGGATGATATCTTTGGTACCGTCAATGACCTTCCGGGAATCGATAGATAGTGTGGTCCGTTAAAGTCGATGGCATGACAGAAACTTAGATGATGATGGCCAGTGCGTTTTTAAGCGACATAAATTTGCAAGCGGGTGCATCGAAACAGTTTGAAAGGCGTAGAGGTTTGAGGTAATGCAGGGTAGGTTCCGTAAGCTGCTTCGGGGGAGTAGTATGTCAACAACACTAATGAAATTTTTTTTGGAGCGTTTGTCTATCTTTTTTTAATGAGGAATTAGTACCTTAGAAAATGACCCCTTTTATCCGTATTTCATTTTTACGTGCGTTAGAATTTACAGAATATTGCCAGTGCAGTTGGGATAATTTTCACCGGATCTTAGGGTCGTGATGGGATTGCGGAATGGAGTTAAGTCTAGCTGCCGATACATGCCACTGTGTGGAAACTGCCGCTTTTATCGTGGGCTTTGTGTTTAGATCAAGGGGTTATTCGGTGTTCTCAGGCGAGGGAGGTAAAATATCAAGTGTTAATGAGCCATATAGGGAGTCATTTATTCGGGTAGGTTCGTATCGAGGACGGACGATAAATCAGCAAACAGTACTCTGGGTTGGATCTAGTCTCTGCCATGTTTAAAGAGACCGATTTGATCTCTGTAGCACAAAGTATAGTCTCCAGTGGGTGATTTTATCCTCTTTCGGAGTAAGTCCATGAACTTGATCGCTTGTCACAACCGACAGGTTTGAAAGGTTACACTCATCCTCAATGAAACCATAGAATGTAAGACAACAAGTTGTGATCCGAAATTTTCGAATCTTGGTTGACCTAGGTGAAGAGTTTTCTCAATCTCCGATCCAAGAACATACTCCCATCTTTCAGTAGGAGGGAAGTCGTGCTAAAACCTCTCCGTTCATTGGCGAGTCAATGTGAGCATTAATCATCGTGTGCTAGTAACATAGTAAGGTTGTGTTTAATGTCCAGGCCAAGTTCTGACCGAAACGATGTTCATGTTGGGTTGAAGGTTTGTTCTGGAAAGCCGCTCAGAACCACTTGAACTGAATCCCGAACCAAAGTCCGGGTGGTGGGATTTTTGAAAGCCACTGGGTAATCATGGTTCATCCAAAACCATGACACTGATTTTAGTCAAGGAAACTTTGGATTAAGTGAAAATGTCGTTGAATATTCTTCAACGAAAGATGGGCAACTAGGAATCCTCAGTCCACCGATGCTTTTCGTTTCGTCGAGCAACTGAGATACACAGCAAAACGGATAAAGACTGGAGAAATTGAACGTGGCCAGGGACCACTGAAGAAGCGCTATCAGATTCCTCATGTATGTCAGCAATCAAAAAATCAGATTCCAGCTCCAACAGTTAAGTTTTGTCACTTGTTCGAGTTTGACACGTGATGTGACAATCTGAAAGTATTGGAACGGACGGGATGACGCATAATGGAATCAATTCCTGTGGGTTCATCCATGGTGCCGACTTGGTTCAATCTCGAATGATCTTGTGAATATCTCGCTTGAGGAAGTTGGACAAACTAACCCATGTAACCTTGGGACTATTCTAGAATGTTTGACCTAACTAATGGAATCCCTTTCGGCTCATGTCACTAGGCGGCTTCCACGCGTGGTGCACAACCGAGTTGCACACTATATACGCATTAAGTACTTTCGTTTGCCACGTATAGGAAAAGTTGCGTGTTTTCGTGTCGCATCGTGTGTCAATCGGAGCACATGAACGTGCTGTTTGTTCAATTCAGCCATCGATCGTAATCTGTTGTCGAAAGTTTTGGTGCGCACGTATTGACTGTTTCCAAACTGATCTAACTGAGATTCAGTAAAAGTTTTGCTTTGTACGTGAGTCTGTTTTTATATCATGGTAGCACATAAATATCTGTTTAGTCGTTTCGTCCCCGTTTACTTGAAGCCATCTAACAACCTTTCATAGTACTACTCTCTCGCTGGTTAGCTTGCATTGTTCTTCCCTTCTTGGTTTCTTTTGCACATCACCTCAAGATTATATAGTAAAGCTAGAGAGGGTTGGTAAAGTTTCGAAATCTGGTGGTTTAGGCTTACGCGCTTCTCGCGGCCGTTTACACTAGATTGTCTTTCGGGTGAACAGACAAACTTGCACCTAACCACAGTTTGCACTACGCGCAAGTTCTACGACAAAGCGCATTCGAACTGGCAACGTTTGGTTCCCCTGGTAGACGGCATCCGTTTTGCCAGGCAGGTATTTTCGTGCGCTCACAGACAGACGCACTTCAGAACCATCCGTGAGAATCCGATGCTATTAGTTTACCTATATGCAAAAGCAGATTCGGGCTGATACAAGTAATGACGAAATCTTTGTGAGTGCGTGGGAACGCGTGACACTTCCTCAACAGGACTGAAAACGTTGGACGAATCAATTTCGATGGCGATCCTTTTTTCATTTCTTGTTTGGACCGCTCAACTGAGGTTCTGATGTTTACACATCTTGTAAAATTTGTGGTCGGCCGGTAGCAGGTCTTTTCTTCTCCTTGTTCTATTCACGGTTATGGTTTTCTGAAATAAATGAATTCCACCGTATAACAATGAACTGCAGGTGTTTAGCGTTGGTATTAGTCGTGGCGATCATGACGATGTTCCGCCAAGCTGGCTGCCTTTGGTCATAGTAACGCAAACAGTGCACCTAGCTGCGTTAGAGACACATGGCGGGTAAAATCGAGAGTCACAAGGGCTGTCAGATGTCTGAAGGGAGAATTCACGGTTAGAAGCGGAATTTCACTGTTAGATTCTTCTGCTGCCATTGAAATCAACTTGAAGAGTTAAGCTGATTGGCCGAGCCGTGTACCGACCAGGTTAGCCTCCACTGTTAAAACCGACCTGGGCATGTGTGGAATAGAATGAGTTTGAAGTGGTTCCCATGATGGGCCTACGGTGTTTCGAGTGAGACCGGATAACAGATGATTACTTCCGTTCTTTTGATCTGTACAGCTCCAACGAGCACCGCTGTGTCTTGAGCAATGCATCTTTACGCACGTGTTGGTGTGCCTTCCTGAATGAGTGGTTTGGTCAGATATGACGATATGATGAAGATTCCCCGAGTTGCTTAACTGCAGTGCGCAGTTTATTGTAGATCGTTGCTGATGTCTGTGTTTACTAATACATTCTTTAGTTATCTGCTGTTTTCCCTTGAGTACCATGTGGTGGAGTTCGTGGAAACATTGTGTTAGCGGATCTTTTCGGTGCATTAGATATGTCTGCTGCATTATCAGTTGTATGGACAGTCCCAATATCGAGGCCAAACTATATCACATCAATTTTTTAGAGTTGCTTTTAAATTATTGTAGATGGAATGTTTTATGGCGGATCTCGTATCCTCTTCTGTCCCTAGTCCCACTCCGATCAGTTTTTGTCAGCAGTTTTTTTTCTGTTCTTATTTCTTTGATGCTGTTAATCTCAAAGCTTCAGAGTAGATACTGGTGGCTTTATTAATCAGTGAGTGTATCACGACACAGTTAAAGAACAACGCGGGAGTTCATGGAGGGACGTAGACTTTGTGATATTTTGTCAGTCGTGTGCTTTGTAAAAATGATATAACTACCTCATAGTATCACAGATGCAGTAAAAAAATAGCTTTGGCTACTAGGCTCATTCACAGTAGTTCATCTCAACGCGAATTTTCGGATAGTTGCGTTCAGTACATCACCAACGAATTTGTGGGATATCGATTTTTGTGGTCGGATTTTGTATCCATGTATGTAAATTCTATAGTTTGTTCTAATCGAATAAACATTAGATTAGCATCCCTCTAATTTGCATTTGGCACCCTGCTTACGCGAGGTGCGTCAAATTGTAATAAGCGCCTTAATTTGGTTAATTACCGACATGAAGCAAACCAGGTAGTATCCCGATCAGGGACATGCGTTACGTTACTACATCTGGATGTGCACATACTGGATGAGCTCATATGTATTAGTTCAATACCTTAGCCTTTAGAATACCGGCTTAGGAATGGCTGGAAGGTAGTCCTGCTCGAACTGACACAACTTTGGGCCATCATTGTTTCAAGTTTGGCGTCGAAAAACAGGAGACACCTCGTTTCTGATGCGTTATTTTGGTTTACATGCGGCTATCTAGTAAGTTTTGTCAAATATATATTATATGTCTAGAAATTTCGACGCTGGATTATGGAGATGGCTGACCAGAGTTTACTTAATGGACTTTAATCTCATCGTTCGTGTTGCCAGTAGAAAATTTATGGAATTGAACTGCAACCAGTTTGTAA